ACTGGGAGGTGTTTTCTACACTTCTTTGCAGGGCTCCTGCCTCTCTGAATGATACCAGTTTGCTCCATGACCCTTGCCTGGGTACGTTTGGTGGGCCAGTGTTCCCGTGGCTTGTGTTAGGAGGCTATGATGGTAAGTAAGAGAAGCTTCTGCTTTTCCTATTGGGTAAAGTAGTCTTGGTTCTGTCACTAAGAGTCAAGTGGTAATTACAAAAATGTCATGGAGTGAGCAGTCATTCTAGTTCCCCATCTTTTAAATCCCAAGTGTAGGCTTGCTTTGGGCTTTGGCTTTGGGGTTTCTTCTGGGCGTAAAAGAAGTAGATGGTGCTCACCTTCTTAAGCTCACACTTTGGGAAGCTGTCACAAGCCAAGGACATTCCCCCAGAATATTGCAATTGTACACCTCCACACAATTCATTGTTTAGTTTCAAGGAGTTCAAGGAACCCTTAGGGAGTCTATGGACATCAGGTTAAGAACATCTGTGGGGGCACCTGGGTGGCTCAGTTGTTAAGCCTCTGCCTTCGGCTCAGGTCATGATCCCAGGGTCCTGGGATTGAGCCCCGCATCCTGCTCCCTGCTCAGTGGGGAGCCTGCTTCTCCCTCTCCCTCTGCCTGCCACTCACCCTGCATGTGCTCTCTTACTCTCTCTCAAATAAAATCTTAAAAAAAAAAAAAAATCTTTAATTGGAGAGAGATAATATGTGAGATACAGGGAAAAAGAGACAAAATTGTTCTGTGTTTTCCTCCCAAACCAGTTGGTTAGGAATTGAGACACTTCTCTAGAGGGAGGAGCAGTGGGTTTGCCCTTTGCTGTTGGTTCCTGTAGCACCTGGAATAGACTGTATCAGGTATGACGGGGTCATGATTCAGGTGACACCTTTGGCATCCGAAGCCTGATTATAGGCAGTTCAACAGGTTTTTCTGCGGTCCAAGGAAGAGGCCAATTAGATGTTGTTCTCCTCACCCCATAGGAGGGGAGAAGTCCTATCTATATTTAAATTTTACTCTGCCTCATAAAGCGGCACTTCTGATGGGTGGAGAGAAGATGGTGTCACCCACTGCCAAGCCACAGCCATCAAAATTAAATTTGATTTCTTCCTTATTCCTTCCATCCACATAAACTCCAGATTTGTCAAAAACAGATGTATAAGAAATGAAGCTATTTAAGATCTAGAAGAAAGTATGGGAGGAATTTTTTTTTTAATAATTTTAAAACGGGGAAGGCATTTCTAAGTGAGACACAAAACCCAGAAGCCACAAAAGAAAACATTGATGAATTTGACTGTGTAAGAATTTTAAATTCCTATGTGGAAAACAAGCATCATAAAGTTAAAAAACATTAAAAAGGGCAAGTAAACCAGAGGGGGAAGAAAAGCAGTACACATAATGGACAGTGTATCCTTAATATATAAGGTCTCGTATGAAAAAAAGAAAAGGTCAGCAACCCAGGAGAAAAGTAGTCAAAGCTATATGAAATTTAGCAAAAGAACAAATACACAGGGCTGTTCATTACATGGGAAAAATGCCCAACCTCACTCCTGGATAGTGAAATGTACCTCACTTCAGTCTTTTCTATCCAACACAGGGGCAAAAACCTAAGAGTCTAATAAACCCTGTGTAGAACCCCATTGTTAGGGGAGTGTAAGTGGTTCCTAGAATGTTAACTCAAGGCAGGCAGGGATTTTCCTCTCTTCTGTTCACTGATACACATCCAGAGAACCTAAAATAATGCCTGGCATGAGGCAAGGTCTCAGTAGATGTCTTGTTAAATAAAGAAATGAAAAAGAGGAGAGCCTCTTTGAAGGGCAGTTTAGGCGAATTTATCAAAATTGCAGTTGCACATACTTTTTGATTCAGTGCTTATACTTGTAAGAATTGATTCTCCACCTATGTACTTGACACATGAAAAATATTTATCAGGTTTTTCTTTGTAGTACTTTTGTTTATAATCCTAAAAATTGCAGAAATGTCCATCAACGGGAGATTGGCTAAATTATACTAGAAAATACGATACAGCAGAAAAAAAGAAGAAAGAAGCTCTTTATGTCCTAAAATGGAGTCGTCTCCAAGATATAAATGAAAAAATGTAACGTGCAGAACAGTGTGTTGCCATTTGTGTCATTAAGAAGGAAAGGTTGGGGTGCCCGGGTGGCTCAGTCGGTTGGGCGTCTGCCTTTGACTTAGGTCAAGATCTCAGAATCGAGTCCTGGACTGGGCTCCTTGCTCAGCAGGGAGCCTGCTTCTCCCTCTGCCTACTGCTCCCCCTGCTTGTGCACGTGTGCTCACTCGCTCTCTCACAAATAAATGAATAAAATCTTTTAATACATATGTATATATTTAAAAAAAAAGGAAAGGGCAAGAATATATGTGTTTGCTTGAGCATGCATGGAGTGTCTCTGGAAATATTTCAGATGGTGGGGAGGAGAACTAAGCATAGAACGAGGCCTGGGGAAGGAGAAACTGCACAGATCTTTTTTCTGATAGAAATTTTTACCATGCACATGCTCCATAGTTAAAACAACAAAAAAAAACAAAACAAAAAAGAATGTACTCATCCTGAATGAAACTGCCTACATCAGATAGAGCATCCTTTTTATTCATTAACTGAGCTGCGTAGACACGATGTCCATAAACTGGTTTTTGTTCTTAGAGCAGTCTACAGCCCCATGAAGAATCAGTCACCTCTCTGTCTCGTGATTTTTCCCTTGTGTTTGTCTAATTTTCTGCATGCTTCTCATCTTCTGGATGTCCCTTTTTTTTTTCCATTCTAGATCAAAACTACAATAACGCTACAGCCCTTGTGATTACCTTTCCTGTCAATAATTACTACAATGATACAGAGAAGCTCCAGAGGGCCCAGGCCTGGGAGAAAGAGTGAGTTGCTCTTTGTTCTGGGGGAAGCTGGGCGCTAACAGAAGGCACTAAAACCTCGTTCAGCTAAATTAACCAACAGCAGATCTAAATCATTTTTTTTTCCCCACTTGGTACTAATAATGCAAAGAAAAAAGTCTGTAAGGCAGTTCATCCACAAACATTGTGTGAGTAGATAGCCCTGCACAGGGACGCACAAGTCTCCGGACGTGCGGAAATGTCCCGTGCACCCACCTCTCCCAGCCGGCCACCAGGAGCAAGGTGGATGCCCATTAATAAGGGACACTGCAGGGACTAAAGAGAGGGGAATGGATGGTCAGATGGCTCCAGATGTAGGACATGAAAGCTGCCATCGACACGGCTAGGGAAGTTTGTGTACATGCTGTCCATCCCTAGAAAAAATCGTAGGCACGGGACCCGGGAGATGGTTAACTGTTGTAAACCCTAGAGAGCAGGACAGAGGGCCAAGGAGGACAGGGAATTTTGACCCTTTATACCTTTCAGTGCTTTTTGTTTTGACAGCTTTGTTGGAATATAAATCCCATCCTGGACATTTCACCCAATTAAAGTGTGTGATCCAGTAGCTTCTATGCAGCTGTCACCACAGTGAATTTGATATCTTTTTTGTTTTTTAATCTCAAAAAGATTAATCTCCTTTAGCTGTTAGACCCCATACTCATCCTCCCACCTCCCAGCCCTGCGCAACCATTCATCTGCTTTCTGTCTCCATGTGTTACCGTATTCTGGCTGTTGACATGAATGGAAGCATGGACAGGGACTTCTGTGTCTGGCTTCTTTCACTTTGCATGTTTCCAAGGCTCATCCAAGTTATGGCATCTGTCAGTGACTCATTCCTTTTTATGGCTGCATAATGTTTCATCCTGTGGCTGTGCCACATTTTTATCCAGTCATCAGCTAATGCACATTTGAGTGGTTCCAGCCTTTTGGCCATTACGAATAATGCTTCTGTAGACATTCACATACAAGTTTTTGTGTGAATTTAAGTATGTTTTCATTTCTCTTGGCTATCTACCTAGCAGTAGGATTACTGGGTCATACGTGACTCTCTGAAGAACTGCCAGATTGTTTTCCATGATGGCTGCAGCATCTTACATTCCCACCAGCCTGTGTGGGGGGTCTTAGTTCTCCATAACCTCGTGAACGCTTGTTATGTGACCTTTTGGCTCTAGCCATCCTAGTGCATGGGATGTGGTGTCTCATTATGGTTTTGATTTGCATTTCCCTGGTGGCTGCTGATTTTCAGCATCTTTCCTTGGGCGTGCTAGCCATTCATATAACTCTTCCTATCCTTTGCCCACTTTTAACTGGATTATTTGTATTTTTACTATTAAATTATAAGAATTCTTATGTGCGCTACATGTCTGCTGTCAGCTACGTGATTTCTAGGTATTCGCTCCCAGTTTCTTTGTTATGTTTGCTTTGTTTTTCTTGCTGCTGCCCGCTGAAGCACAAGTTTGTAGTTTTAAAGTCCAATTTTTTAGTTTTTTCTTTTGTTGGTCAAACTTTTGGTGTCCTGTCTGTGAAACTATGGCCTGATCCAAGGACATGGCAATTTATGACTGTGTCATCTTTGGAGGGTTTTAGAGTTCCAGCTTTCAAGTTTAGGTCTTTGATCCACTGGAATTCATTATTTTCGTGTTGTGTGCTATCCAGATAGCCCCAAGCCATTTGTTGAGAAGGGGACTCACTCTTTCATTGGACAGTCTTGCCACCTTGTCAAAAATTAGGTGACCACAGATACATGGTTTCTTTCAAGACTCTTACTTGTGTTCTTTGATTTTGCCCATCCTTATGCTGGTACCACACTCTCTTGATTACGGTCATTTTGTAGAAAGTGTGAAATTGAGAAGTGTGTGTCCTCCTCCTTTGTTCTTCTTGAGAAAGAAGGGTTTGGCTCCTCTGGGCCCCTTTTGATTGCAAATGTGAATTTTAGAATCAGCATATCTTTCTATGAAGGAAGAGGTCAGCTGGGATTCTGATAGGGATTGCATTGCATTTGTAGATCAACTTTTAAGTTTGTTCCATGGGCATATATCTTTGTTATGATATGCTTCAGTTAGAGATCCTTTTTAGTAAAAAAAAGAAGATGAGACCATGAGCCAGGCTTTTTTTTAATGGAATGCTTCATGAATTTGCATATCCTCTTAACGCAGGAGCCATTCTAATCTCCGTATCATTCCGATTTTAGTATACGTGCTGCTGAAGCCAGCACTGTGAGCCAACTTTTAAACTTGTCCTAAACTTGTTCCAAGTGATAGAAACATGAGCATGTCTGGAACTTTGTAATCTGGGGGTGTTGCCCTTCTGGTCTCCAGTGTCAAGAATCCTCATGTAAGGTACGGGTTGAGTAAGCATGGCTTTTGTGTCCTAGAGGTTGGGAAGAAGTTTCTCCCTTAGCTGTCACTAAATTTCAACTGAAAATATAAAATGTGTTCTCTCCTTTAGGTTTATTAATTTTGTGAAAAACTACGAGAATCCAAATCTGACCATTTCTTTCATGACTGAGCGAAGTATTGAGGATGAACTGAATCGTGAGAGTAACGGCGATGTCTTCACTGTCCTGATCAGCTACGCCGTCATGTTTCTGTACATTTCCATAGCCTTGGGCCACATCAAAAGCTGGAGCAGGTTTCTTGTAAGTGGAGTGTGTGTGTGTGTGTGTGTGTGTGTGTGTATGTGTTGGAGAAAAATGACGATGCACAGCATCATGTCCTATTTTTGCCTCTACTTTTTGGAGCGGGGGGTGGGCAGAGGGAGAGAGAAAGAGAAAATCCTAAGTAGGCTCCACGCCCAGACGGAGCCTGACACTGGATCTCATGACCCTGAGGCCATGATCTGAGCCAAAATCAAGAGTCAGATGCTTAACGATCTGAGCGACCCAGGCGCCCCTGTTTCTACTTAGTTAATCCTAAGTCATTATGTTCAAAATTGGTTTACATTCCCATTTTCATTGTATGTAGTATTTTCTGTTTCCTGCATATGTTTTCTCCAGTTCCAAATTTTTGGTTTATTTTAAAACTTACGGTTTATTTCTCATAATCCAGTTTTTCCTAATTTGACTACACGTGAGAATTGAAGCCCGTAAAGCATGGCTACTAAGGGAAGATCTAGAACATTTTTCTTATCTTTTATCTTTTCTTATCTTTCTCTCGGAGAGCACCTTTAACTCCAAGAAAGAGGTAAAATGAGGTCCTTTTAGTCATGGGACAAACGAGAGTCTGACTCTCTATCTTTGTTGCGTGGTTCAGGTGGATTCTAAGATCTCCCTTGGCATCGCTGGGATCCTCATCGTGTTGAGCTCAGTGGCGTGCTCACTGGGCATCTTCAGCTATGTTGGGATCCCCCTCACCCTCATTGTGATCGAAGTCATCCCATTCCTGGTGCTGGCTGTCGGGGTGGACAACATCTTCATTCTGGTCCAGACCTACCAGGTGCGTTTCCAAGGCCTGACAGAGCTTGCCGTCAGACCAAGTAGTGAGCTCCGTTAATGGTTGTCCCACTCTATGCCGAGTACTTGCAAGCGTGGAAGTGGGGTAGCGGTGTTTCCTGTTCTCTGTGTTGCTCATTGGTGTCCATAACTTGCTCAGCCTTCTCCTTGGTTGGAGGAATAAAGTGAGACTTGAATTGTAAAGATTTTTTTTTTTTTAATTTGAGAGAGAGAGAGCAAGATCATAGGAGAGGAGCAGAGGAAGAGGGACAGACCCAGGGCTATATCCCAGGACCCTGAGATCATGACCTGAGCTGAAACCAGGAATTGCACATTTAACTGACTGAGCAACCCAGGTGTCCTAAGAATTCAGTTTTAAATATGTGTGCAAGAAGGGCTTGCATGCTTGCGAAAAACATTTTGGATACAACTCTTATTTTTTTTTCTTTTTCTTTTTTTTTTTTTTTTTTAAGATTTTATTTATTTATTTATCTCGCTGCTGAGCAGAGAGCCCGATATGGGGCTCGATCCCAGGACCCTGAGATCATGACCCAAGCTGAAGGCAGAGGCTTTAACCCACTGAGCCACCCAGGCGCCCCTTGGATACAACTGTTGCTAAAATGAGTCTCCAGTAGTGTAGAAGAATCAGAGACTTGTCAGAGGTGCCACTGAAGATAGGACAGCATAGGATCTGCTGATGTATAATATGGTCTCAATCATGATATTTTTCTTTCCTGGTCACCTTACTTGGGGACTCAGTGGCACGTAAGAGTGTCCCTTAATGGTCCAGCCACCTGCAGGCTGCATTCTGTGTGTTTTCCTGATAAGATGATCCAGTCTTCCCTTGAGCTTTCCACCTGTTACCTAGCTCAGGGGTTTAGTGATACCCTGGATGGATTGTCAGGACAAGTTGCAGGCCCCCCATCAAAGTTTATCTACAATAAGTAGAAGCTCCTAATCATTTGTCTTTACTGTTAACACAAAGCAACAAAGAAGCAAAGAGATGGCATTGTGATTTAGAAAGGTTAATGGCCTGTGTATTGTGTTCTTTTTTTTTTAAGCGAGATGAACGTCTTCAAGGAGAAACTCTGGATCAGCAACTGGGCAGGGTCCTAGGAGAAGTGGCTCCTAGTATGTTCCTGTCCTCCTTTTCAGAGGCTGTAGCGTTTTTCTTAGGTAATTACTCTTTGAATTCTACCAGTCCCACTGTTTCCTGAGCCTGGAGGTAGAAGGATCTGGGTATCTGACTATGTCCCATCGTGTTACTTCCTTGTTTAAACTTATTCTATAATCGGAAAGTATCAGAGTGGACCACAGGGAAAATCAGTGGCAGTATCTTGGATATCATTTTGGAAGTGTCCTCTTTTCTTTTGGGGGTTGGGGGGAGTGGCAGAGGGAGAGAGATTGAATCTTCAGGCTCCACGCCCAGCGCAGAGCCCGATGGGGCACCTGATCTCATGACCCTGAGATCATGACCTGAGCAGAAATCAAGAGTCAGCTGCTTAACTAGCTGAGCCGCTCAGCGCCCCTCCACTTTCTCATGTTGTTTCATGATAGTGTTGATGTTGGGGTCCAGACTGACAGATAACCTTGAACTTCTCTGCTGCTTCCCCTTTTTGGCACCTGTGGCAAATGTGGATCTTTGAAAATGACATTCCTGCGTCCCACAGGAGCCTGGCCAACACCACACTCTGAGCAAAATCCACAGGCGTAGACATTCCTCTTTGACCGCACAAACCATCGGGGAAGCAGCCTTGTTAATGAGCAGAGGTCCTTGGACCTCCCCTCACTACAAGGAGCCAGAATGAGCTGGAACAAAAACCAGTGCTTTCTGTGTTTCTTTCCTGTGGAGAAATCACCACGCAGCCTTACTCGCAGGGCTGTCTGTCTGCTGTGTGGGGTGAGACATCTGAGTGCGTCTTCAGAGCAGGAAGCTGGATTCGAAATGAGATCCGTGGGCCACAGATGGAAATGCCTCCATGGGCTGTTCACACGGGGCTGCTGTAGACTCATGAAGGCGGCGGTCTTTGAGAACAGACCCAGGACGCCGTCTTCATTTCCACAGAGCAGTGTGCTTTCAGGCCTGTGGTCCTTACACTTCCTTTCGATGGATACAGGTGCAGAGAAAGTTACTTTCTCTCGTTTTCTCATCAGAAAATGTGATGATAATAGCAGCTGACACTGTGCCTCGAGATTGGAGTGACTCTGGGGGGACTGTAGGAGCAAAAGGCAGAGGTCTAGAAAGGGCAGTTACATGTTGCTGGCCCAGTGCTGCTAGGTCCAGTTTCTTTTTTTAAGTGAAGCTGTGAATCTAGATTTTTGTGTTGGGTCTCATTGTTAAATATTGGCTTCTTTTTAAAAAAAAAAAAAAGAAATGTGTTTTCCTCCTAAAATGAATTGATCTAATGTGGACCATACAGGATATAATCTGGCCTGTGGGCTGCTAGTTTGCAGTCTCTGGGTGTTAACCCAATACTTCTGACTGGGAGCGCCCTCATCTAACTGTGTCAGAAGTGGGAGACAGAAAATATTTCTGTGGCATTCCTCTGGGGAGGTTGTGGGAAGTGTGGGTCTTCTTGTGGCTTCAGTCTATTCTAGCTCCTTGCGTTCCTGTGTACACGTGAGTGTGAGACCCGCATGGAGTCCCCTGCTGTAAGTGGACGTGACGGGGCAGCTTCTCTCCCCCTGCAGGGGCGCTGTCAAGGATGCCAGCCGTTCACACTTTCTCCCTGTTCGCCGGGATGGCCGTCCTCATTGACTTCCTTCTTCAGATTACGTGTTTTGTGAGTCTCTTGGGGTTAGACATCAAGCGTCAAGAGGTAAGTTGTTGTCAGGACGGCAGTCTGTTTACAGCCTAGAATCCAAGTGAAGCAGCAGGAGGGTGTGACCTTTGCCCCTCTTTGTCCTCTCAGAAACATCGTCTGGATGTCCTTTGCTGTGTCAGAGGCTCTGAAGATGGAACTAGTGTCCAGGCCTCAGAAAGCTGCTTATTTCAGTTCTTCAAAAACTCCTATTCTCCACTTCTGCTTAAGGATTGGATGCGACCTATTGTGGTATGAGTTTGTCTGTGGTTTTCCTCATTTTTCTCCAAAAACAGTTTTATCACATGCCTTCTAAGAAAGGAGCTTGGGTGAAGCACCTGCGTGGCTCAGTTGGTTAAACGTCCAACTCTTGATTTCAGCTCAGGTCATGATCTCAGGGTCATGGGTTCGAGCCCTGTGTTGGGCTCTGTGCTCAGAGCGGATTCTGCTTGTCCCTCTCCCTCCGCTCCTCCCCCCTGCTTGCACACATGCTTCTTTCTAAAGTAAATAAATAAAGTCTTTAAAAAAGAAAGAAACCAGCGTGGGAAGGAGATTCTGACAGTTGTTAAGTGTATATACAAAATGCAAAAGCAAATATGTACAAGTACATAAAATATTTTTCTAGCTAGCTTTTAGTAGTCAGTATAAGCAAGTTTTTATTTTGAAGTAATTTTAGATTCATAGAAAGTCAAGAAGATAGTACAGAAATGACCCAGGTACCCATCAGCCCAGCTTCTCCCTGTGGTCTTATGCAACTATAGTTCAGCGTCAAAACCAGGAATTTGACATGGGCACGTGTGTGTGTCGAGTTCTGAGTCCCCTCATCACATGTGGAGTGGCAGTGACCACCACTGCAGTTGATACACGGAACTGTCCTGCCACAACTCTCTCCTCACGCTGCCCCATTACAGTGCCACAAGCCTCCCCCGCACACCACCCACCGTCCCGAGTCCCCAGCAAGAGTGTGAGAGCTTTCTGTAGGTG